GGTGAGCCCGCCCTAGGAGCAGGCCAGCGGGGCAGCGTGGTCGGTACTAGAGACGAAAGCACCTAGTACTCAAAAGCACCTGATCTGTGGCGCAGCAGCAGTGTCTGCATCCACACTGTTCTGGGGGGAAAAGCTGTAGACCCCCCCACAGTCCAGGGGGATACGCCAGGAGAACAGCTGGGAGCCAGCAGCTCCCCAGTACAGCCGACCGTCTCTGCTGCAGGAGCTTTTATTCCGCAGGCCACTCTGTTGTACGGGGCAAGGTTCTCGTCCTCCCTTGGGACAGAGCCAGAGCGTGAAGTGACACGGGTCTCATGAGTGATGTATAGTCCAGTCTTTGGGTGGGCCCAAAAGGAAGTGCTCCAACAGTCGGAAAAATGGAATTGTGTCTTGCCTACCACAGCTGACACATCTCAGGGTTACTTTAAAAAACTGCTCCAGACCATGCTGGGTCTCCAACAAGCACTCAAAAGCCAGAGGTGGCAGCCAGAGAGAACAGATTTCAGTAGAAAACTCAGAATTAAAAACTGTCTTGGTTCCCTTCCCTCAATCAGCTGGGGATGGTTTCCTGCTGCTTTCCCTGTAGATGGACTTTTGACCACCCCAGCAATGGGGTGTGCAGCTGATGAAGAACCTGCACTGTAAATGGTCAAGGCCAACACCTTCTGGAAGCAGCCACCACTTTAAATTACTGAAAGAAACTCTGGGCTCTGAAGACACTTACCCAAACCCATCAAACTCAGTGGAAAATAGAGTTCCCGTCAACAAAGCCACTACATTTCACTATTTTTGTTTGATGCCTGTGAGAAATGACAGTTAACAGCTGGGGGAAGAGCTGAGGTTTTGGAGGCACTAAACCACCTGTACAGTGCTGATTTACACACTGGCCAAGTGGAACACTGGCAGCTGCCTTTTACCAAGCAACATGCTTACCTTAGCACCCTGCTGCTGCCACCATGTGGGACAGCAGCTGCCAGGACACTCAGGCTGCATAGCCATCTTTGCAGAAATCCAGCATTTCCAAGGAGCCTTCACCCCAGCTGGGCATTAATGCCAAGAAGCTGTGTGCTCATGCGAGGGAGTAGGGATGGAAGAATTTCACAGGTACTTAAAATCCTTTGGCAACACCACAGACTTTCCCTCAAAGTTGTACATTCCACACAGTGAGTCTTCCTTTCAGGAATCATTATTTCCCCTTAAGTAAAGTCTCATAAAACCTCACCCCTGGCCATTTCAGCTTACTATCAGTTGATGGCCACCCAACGAGCAATACAGGCAGACACTCCTGTCTTTGCTCCTGTCCTGGTTTTGCTGGGATAGAATCAATTTTCTGTTCAGGAAAGCTGCATTTCTGCAAAGACTACAATACTAGGTTTTTGGCCGGCACTGATATGCAGCGATCAAGGCCTTTAGCATTTCTGAGTTAGCGAGGTGCAGAAGTTCGCTAACGACGGACCTCTCTTCTTGATGGCTGTCATCGTAGGAGGGTCTCACCCATCATTCTACTTCTGTTCTGCTCCCTGTGACCATCACCGCTTGTGACCATTCTATCAAGTATAACTGTGTGCTTTATAGCCATAGTTATTAATACTATTTATTATTAATTAAATCCATTTCTGTTTAAACCCACAGGTCTTCTTTCCCAATTCCTCTCCCTGGGTACAAGAGTCATTGGGTGACAGAACAACTGTCTAATTGACAACAGTTCATCACCATAGCTTTTCCTTACAAGAGGAGGATAATGGTAGGGTATTCGTTGAACATAACTCCCTCCACCAGTTCCTCCAGCCCTGCTCTTTGGTTCCCTACATCCCTGCTACATTTCCCTGTTGTCATCCAAATGTTAGGAAACAAATTTTTAAGAATGCCAAGCCCCTCTCAGCATCACACTGTGATCACTCTCAGAGGGTGCGCTTCAGACAGCACAACTTTTAAACCAACTTTCACACAAAATAGCTGTGCCCTTTTCAACATCTCTGTGGATGTCCAGCATTCATGAGCAGTGATGCATACAACTCTGGTAGGGGTTGCACATCAGTTGACAAAGCCCTCAAGACCTGTCAAAAGAACTCCCACAGGGGTATACAAATGAGGAAAAAAAAATTAATCACATAGATGAGGAATCCAGACATGCTGTATCAGATAACAGCCAGAGGTTCCTGATGTCAAAAATCACATTCTGTGCCCCCTTCCTCCTCCCTCCCAAAAGCACAGCTCTCATACTCAATTTTTATTTTTATTTTTTTAATAAAAGACAGCTTCCAGATACCTAATCATTACTGTGCTGTTTGTGCAGGACAAACTTTAAATACTAAAATGCACAAGGCAAGTCGAAACAAGCTGTTTGTTTCAAACTGCTCAGTGGTGCAGGCTCAAGCACTTATTTGCAATGGCTTTACTCTTTGTACAATCTGTTCTATGTAGCAATGACTGTATATCAAGAATATAGTACACACTATTGTTTCCATTGTCAATTTACAAGAGAAAAAAATAAATATTTTCCATTCTTATTATACATTAACACTTCAGTAGAAAGTTACAGCTGTTGTGTTGGCATGACCTGCAACTTCAGGAGGAAAAAGGACATGCATACCTATTACAAACTGTAAACTACGACTTCGTAATAAATTAGAGGATACCAGCCAACACAATACAGATTATCTGAATTCAGTACAGTGATTCTTGCTCCGGGGGGGTGGGGGGGGAAATACCTTGCAAAATACAAAAAGTTAGAAGCTTGTATTATGCAATTAAGACAAACCATGTATGGTATAGCCTTTTCTTCAGATGTTTGTGAATAACAGGCTTGTGGTTTTAGGCAAAGAAGATTAAGTAGTTGAATTAGTCCTTGCACCCTTCACACATAACTAGCACCGTAAAGATGCAAGGATCTCAGCAAACACCTAAATTTCATGCTTGATAACTAAAGCATGCATTTTTTAGAGTTTGTGCATGTTACAGATTGTGGCTTTTAAGGTTACTGTGCAAAAAATATTCTCAACCACTGAAGATGTTTCTGCAATCCTGTTAATTATTTGTAACACTTCTGAAGTTTCACAGACCTGTGAGAGATTAATTAAAAAAAAGTCGTACTTGTGGTTCACCCTTGACTGCTACACACAGACACTGTGCCAATGAATTGGCAAATTGGAAAGTAGCAGTAGCTTAGGCAGTAGCCTAAGTGTCCAATGAAGTAGGGAAAAATGAGTTAATATGCATTGCAGTTTACTTAAAAATACATAGATATTTTAAAATGGCACAAAGCTGTGTACAGTGTGTGTGTGTGTATATATATATATATGGAGTACCAATTTATTCAGGCCAGATCGAATTATGTGTATCTTACAATCACTCTTTTTAAATTTCCTGTTGTCAGATACAGGCTGACAAGCTGTAGCACTGGAGTAAAGTCAAAGTCAAAACAATTTTTCCGCATATTCAATATCAGATAATTGTAATTTACCTACAATTTTTTTTCTGAGCTTCTACTCCTCAGACTATTTTTTAAAACACGCTTAGTCTTAATATTTAATTTTCTTTTTCAAGATTTGAGACTTGATTATAGAAAAAAGTTAAAACTGTATATGTAAACTATAACAATAACAACAGCTGGCTGAATATTTTAACATTGTCTAAAGTTTTAACAGGTACTGCCAGGAAGGAGGAACACAGTTATTGCTATTTGGGGACTTAAAAATGAAACAAACCAGCCTGAAGACATAGACATCACTGTCCAATGGTGAAAGTTAAATAAATAAAAATAGCATTCTGCCTACAATCAGTCCTTCTGCATTTGAACACTCTTCAAGTTATCTACAGCTTTCTCTTCCAGGCAGCTATGATGACATTTACATGGAGATTTAAAGTGGCTAAGCGTGGGACACACACAGCTTTTCAACTCTGGTAATTCATTCTTGAGACGCTCCAGCTGTTCCACCTGGAATATGTTTAGTTGTTCGGGATTCGAGTCATATATCCTGCATAAACAAGAAAAGAAATGACACCGATCAGTATAACCTGACAGTCCACAGAAATGTAAAGTAGATGAAGCAACTGGGTTCTCCCCCCCACTAGAGTACAGTTAGTTATCAGCAAGGCTATAAAAACAGTAAGTTGCTCATTTAGCAATATAAAATGGTGTTCCTTTTACACAATAGTTACTTTTTCACTGGATATACTAGAAAGCTACCCACTGGCATTTTCCTCTCACTCTCTCATGAAAACTGATTTCACAGGTGGCACAAAGCAGTGAAGAAAAAGCAGAGTTCCATGCTTCAAACTTAAAAGCACAAGGAATTTCAGAGCCCTGGGATTACTTGATCAAACTGATACACTACTTATACGTAATAATGAGTGGAGTTTATACTTACTGTTTCAAGAAGTATTTCACAGCCCCCACAACTCAGAATAATTTCTTAAATATTACCATTACAATATTAGGTGAAGAGGGAAAAGCAGAAAATCTGATCTTTATTCACACCTAATGCAAATTTAACTATCTACACCATTTGAAGTAGTATATCTTCCTTTCACTTTCTTATTTTCACACATGTAAACAAAGCTGCAGGATTTGAGTTGTCAACATCGTACCGCATTGTCCAAATCCAAAACACATTTTGAGTTTGACAGCGTAGGCACTGAGCATAGCTGAAATACTGTTTTGCTGCGATTAATTGTAAAGCAAAAGCATTCATGCTCCTGTAAACTAACTCTGGTACAACTTACTGTGACAAGGATACATTCTGATCTCCCACCATTAGTTTCTAACATCAGTATGCTATTTGTATCCAAAATTTAAATCCTGGCACCCAGTTCCCCTTACTTGTAGCTATTGTGCATACACAGCTTCAGATATTGCAAGTCTCCAGGTTTATCTCCTTCCAAAGAAAATTTCTGGAAGAAATTACCCTGGCTTCTGCCGTAGTTTCCTATGAATATTCCTACTTTCATTTACGATTCCTTCAAGAAAGTGTTGGATTTTTTTTTATTGCGTCATCCTTTCTCTAACATATAATTTAGAAGGTATGTCCAAAAGGAACACAGCGTCACAACCAAAACAGAGTGCTATATGATACAGTGCCAGGTGCCTTTTTACCCCAGGAAGACAACTTGTGAACTGTTGGCAAGTCCAAGACATGAAAAATAATAAGCTGCTGAAACAGGAATGGGATTCAAGTGAGGAAACACTTCTGCAGGAAATACAGCTAGAGATCACATTCCCTACAAAAAAAGATCAAAGACAGTTTCTGTAAAGAAGCTCCTAGAAGCGAGGGACAAATGCTGTCCAGTGTTATGTAATACGCACAGAAGGCACAGCAGTTCAATTGCTTGCACAGCACCTATAATCCAATACAGGTCTAAGATAGGACCCCAAATTGCCTAACAGAAGTTAGCTGCAAAATAAAAGCCCAACCTTCCTTCCTGGATGCAGGTACAACCTGTGCTTTCTTCAGTCAACTTACACATTATAAATTTATATGTTTTCAAGACAAAGCAGTGAAATTAGAAGCTCGTGTCCACTGCAACCAGCCTGCTCCAATGTGTATTTCTTCTAAACCGAAAGCAGAGAAGACAATTTGAAGCACAGCTAACCTTGTACCTCAGGATTTCTTGTCCCCACGTTTCATTTGGATCCAGGAAAGCATACCAGCAGCTGGCAAAAACAGAGCATAGCTCCAGGACTTCTTATGAATTATTTCCAACATCACCAGCAAAATAAGGAATAAACTCATTTCCCTATCCTTCATTCTTCAAAAGGACAATTATTTGTAATTAACTGTGCACCAAAGTTCCTCCATTTGACTTCCTATTAATAAGCAAGCCCTGCAGAGAACTGGGAAGTCCTTTAAAATATATTAATATTACTGTTTTAAAGTAAGCACTTTCCACAAAAAACTTTGCAGGACATTCCAGGGTTATGCAGCGGGCATAGAACCGATGTGCTTTGCTCCTATCAGGTATTTCTGCAACCTCTGAGAACACATACATCCAGCGAGTCTCAGCCTCAGCTGTTTTTCTTTGTTATTGCTCAGTCCAGAGTCAGCAGCACCAAAATACTGTTTTCATGCTAAAAAGATTTTCCGAAGCTTTTGATCAAAGCATTTCATTTTTCTTTACAAATTAACTTTGAATTTGCAAAACAGGAAAAAGTCAGCCATTGCATAACATCTTAATTCAATCATTGAGTAGATTAAATTACAAATCAACTAATACCAGTTAACTTCCTACATATATCCATGCTGTTATTTAATTAACAGTTCAATATCAGGAAAATAAAATGGCAGAGATTTAGACAGTTTTCTAGTTTTAAGAAGTGTTTTGAATGCTTTTGCCAGCTAAATGTGTTAATTTTGAAAAGTTACTAATACTAATAGAGCACAGAGCTCTTGTCTAGAGTCTGCAAATGCAACATGCAGCCATGAGGAACTAGTGTCTAGAGAGGAGACAAACACTGAAGAACCACATGGAAAAGCTTTCAGCACAAATGTTTGAAGATTACGGTTTAATGTTTTCATGCAGATGCGTGTATTATTCAACAAACAGAACTCAGGTAATGTAAAGTGAATTAAAAAAGATAATGCAAGTGTAAATTAGCACCCACCCCATCTCCACATCGGTATTTTAATGTATAGCCAACGGGTGTAAAAACATAAGGCTGCATTTTTCTTACCGAGTTAGAATATATCCAAACACACAAATATTTCCTGGACTGTTTACAAATCTTATCCAGGAGAAAAAATACCAGGTAGGTCACGTGACAAATCCGGCTTTAGAATTCATAATTTTTGTCAACCCACAGAATTTCACTGCAATAGATCCAAGTTTCTTATCTAAATAAAATCTAAGAATCAAACTAATACAGTGTTTTAAGCATGTGATTTAGTTTTCTCTGCAAACAGAAGACACCCAGCCATGCATTTAAAGTACTTTTATAGATTAGGGAGGGCCCACATAGAAGTCTGGAGGCAGATATGGCAAGTTTTCTGTAGGTTACCCTTTTAACACATGTAGTTTGGATATTTTAGATGCCAAGATGAATGCCAGTCAAAGAAGCAGAATATTGTCCTGGGAAGTCCACTAGACCAGTCGTTTGGTTTAATGACCTTGGGTATGTTGCATAATCTGCAGCCCGAGTGGAGAAAGGACTGAGTAGGAAAAAAACCACAAAATCAAAAACCAAAACAAATCCGCAAACCAACTTCTTTCCCCTGCCCCACTGAGATGGTTCTTTCAATAGCGTTGGCATTTGTAAGCTTCCCAGATTTAGTCTTGCAGTTTTTCTCCATGCAAAACAAAGGCAGACCCCCTACCTGCATTTTTTTTTGCCCGACACTTGATATCAGCAACTTTTGGTATTCAGGACACAGTTTTTCTGCCATCTTCACAAGTGGCTACAATGTTTTGACCAACTCTACATGGATGATTCAAGTTCGGAAAAAATAGCTTAGAGAAATCATCTCTACCCAGACAGTTCATCTGAAATAATTACCACATGCAATAACAGTAACTCATATCCAAGCAACCTAAAATTCACTAAAATTCCTGTATTCACGTCCTAGCTTATTCAGATAAATAACACTTAAGATGGTTTAAGTAAAGGTCTAGTACACAACAACAGAAAACACCAGGCACAGCGATTTCTGATAAATATCTGGATTTGGCCATACAGCAAAAATTCTGCAGAAGCCATGAAAGAAGTGCACTTTGATTCAGCCCTGGAAATATTCTGGAATTTGAGAATGCAACCATAGCATAAACTGGCTTTACACTATTTAACAGATTACTGCAGTCCCTAATAATTTCTAGGCCTTGAAAGAGGCATATGCATCTCTCTAGAGTTCTGCTTCACAGTAGTTCTGCATTTATCTGTTTCTAAACTTCAAACAGAACATGGATGCTTACACCACACCTATTTAAACTTTTGACAATTTAAACTCTTGATATTAACTTCACACTCAAATTACTTGAAAGACTGCCTCTTTGCTCCAACTGTGAACGGAAACACTTGTTGCCAGGTTTTACATTTCGACATGCCATTCAGGAATTGCAGGTACCCTCTGCATTTCAGAATGTCCAGCTTGAGATATCCGATGCATTTTTCAGAAAAATGTCACATTAATTCTAAGGAACCTATATTAAGATTAAATTTAATTCTATTCAGACAACTAGTAAATTTTGAAATATTACTAGGAATTGGAAAGGAACATTTCAATATTTGTTTTGGCCTACAGAAAAGGTCAATAACATTTAGAAGTTAGAGTTAATGAGCCTGCAACAATTACACTGAAACGAGATTAACTGCTTGCTACTCAATTGCAGTTTGTAACTTGAAAAAGAGAAAAAATACACCACTGAACTACTGTTTTTTCAAGCAGCTTTGGAACTAGTATTTATTTTGATGTTCTTATCAATAAAGTGGAAAGATGTCAAGAAGGTGGAAGAGATACAGGGGGCAGGTGGTGAGAGGAGACACGAATCCTATTAGGAATCTTGATGGTCTGAATAGTGCAGGAATGTTAAGCATTTTTTGTTTCATTAAATCCACAAGGGAATTCAGCCTATAAGCAATTCCAGTGAATTGGTCAGTCCTCAAAAAGTGATGAAAGAGCTGTTCTGCTATCATACTGCAACTTAAAACACCCTAAACAAGAAGGAACGTAAGATAACATGTAGCAGACTTGCAGTCTTGACATAAATGCAACATTGTTTTAGTAGCATTGAGCAATCAAATACCTAAAGTAATTAAAGCAACACAAAGTCAGAAATAAAGCAGTCACCTGCTTTACTGTTTTCCTATAGTAGTGCACGTATATTACATCAGGAGTAAGTACTTTAGAAGACTGGATTAGTAGACTTCAGATGAACAGACATTTCCTAAGAACACTTTATGCAATAGTATTTGGTTAAAACATCCCACCTGTTTATAGACCAATAATTTATCACTTCAAGGTATGCATACCATAAGATTAAATTTCATCACAACCCTATCACTGTACACTACAGAGTACAGAGTACCATTTCACCTGCATAGTAGTCCAGAAATAACTTTCAATTACTAAAGGGGCCTCAATCTTTAGTTGTAAGAGAGGTACAAGACATAGCACTGCCGTAGCAGGAAAGAAGACTTATGTTTCAATGACTTCAGTCTGAAGCTGATCCCCAAGGTAAAAAAATCTTGTTATTCCTTTTTATCCCCAATGAACAGAAAGAGACATTCTGTACAGCACAGGCAGGAGACCTCCCTCCCGGAAACCAGAGCAGCACTGGACCCCACCGGTCTGGAAGGGCTCTCAATAGTCAAGAAGAGATTGAAGGGTGTGAACTGGTTTTCACACTGGCAGCCTAGAACTCTAAGCGCAAATATTTGATTTCTTGCTTCTAGATATACTAACTTGACTCTCAGTTTTCACTTCATAAAACAGCCCTTGCAATTAATTGACACCTTTTTTTTCAGATGAAATAATAAGCAAAGTAATGCCCTTGCTATAAATCAAGAAGGTTGAGAGTCTTCTATAATTTGACACTTCAGTTACACTTAAAGCTTTCCCAATTACATATTCTTTGTAATCTATCAGATTCTAATTTACTACAGCTTCCTACATTAATCATCATCTTATAACAATAAATTTCATCTTTTCTCATGAAAGAGTTAAAACCTTTGGGTTTTGTAAGGAACTCCAATAACACATTTGGTCAAGGGTTTACCACCGTATTCTGATGTCCACCTGAATCATGTGGATGTAACAACTACTTTCTGAAGTTACTAATTTGGCAGTTTTCCCTGGGAGTCACTCCAAGTTAACTGTAATATGAAAAATGGCGAATTCACAGCTTTGAAGTAAGACAGAACGTTGGCAAAAAATTAAGTTAAAATTATTCAGTTAAGTTGTGCTATTTCTATAACCAAATATAGAAAGCTGAAAATTTCAGTAAAATAACATTGTCATCACTGCGTCACATACAAAGTTTAAAAATTACTATCAGGAATGTAAATAGCATGGTAAACATATATGCCATGCACTAGTTCTTTAAAAAAATCAAATTACATTTACATGAACTGCAGGAGAAACAAAAAGGTGAAACAGAAAGGTGAAGGAGTAGGAATTAGTGTTAGTCTTGTTCTTGAACTGGGTTTGTGGGCTTGGAACATAATCTGCATCCAGTCAACCAAAAAGCAATGTGAAATTTCACAAGAATAGCAATACAAAAGTTTCTCAGCGTTGTTATGATTATTTTTAAAACATAATTATAATACCTGTCATATATTAGCCCATGAACACCATAGTCTCTTAGCTTCTTCCTGTTATCTGGGTCATTTGCATCATCACCCCACGAAAAAATAACTAGGCCTTTAGATTTGGCCCTTTTAATAAACGATGGATTCCTCAGCAGATCTTCAGAGTGCACATTAATTCCCTGAAATACAAAACACTTCCATTAAAATTCATGCTTCTAAAACAGATCAGGTTTTTTTAATCTGTTGACACCTACAAATACATTAATAATAATAAAAAGTAATTTAATATTGTTAGAGTTCACTGATAACACTGTATTTTAAGCACCGTGTTAAACAGACATTTGAAACAAAGGACATTATTTTGGCAGTTACCAAGTTAGTTTATTTCTTTTATGAGGTTAGTTGTAATTTTAAGCATTAGTGGCAAAACCAATAGATCTACAACAAGTAGTAATAATTCAGTTTCATTTTACTGCAGAGGAATACCAGAACTTGTCAGCTTACCAGCAAGTTTTCAAACTCTGCAAAAGTAATGGCAATTGGAGTTGTACGAGACCTAAGATCCATAAGTTCTGGATAGAGTTTAGATTCTCCTTGGGTAAGAAATAACACAGGATACTTGTTTTGCTTATGCCGAACCCTGTTAGAAAAAAGTTCACAAGTAGCAAATGTGTTTAAAAGCAGGGAAATCCAGTCTTACTCTGAGAGGAATTATGCTCTTCACTGCATGTTCCTCTAGTTCCTCACTTGTACAATGAGATGGCACTACAGTTTAGTATCAAACTATGTAACAAACCACTCCAGCTGTTTCTTTTGCCACTATTGGAGATTAACATGCAGTTTAAGGGAAGCTAGACTTCAAATTTTGTCCTGCCCATTTACCCTGCAACAGTATTTAATCAGTGGGGTCTCTCTTCAAATGAGACTTGCATAAAGCCTCTGATTTACAGTGCTAACTCACTTCCTGTTAACAAAGTACTACAGCATATTGTTAGTTCCTATGTATCCCAACTGTTTGTTCCACAGTTCAACTCCTGTGCTTTCTGTGCCCCAAGACCTTCAATGTGACATTCCACAAAAGGAAAGCAAGACAGCTTAAAAAAACCCAGACACAAACAAAAACCCAAGCCAAACACAGGTAATCCAAACTCGTTTCATTTTCTGTCCTTTATAAAAGGCAGTGAAAAAAAAAAATGTAACAAGATTATTTTGTTAGTAAATTAGCCTTGTGTAACCCTCAAGCATGAACGTTAGGGATTGGAAGGGACCTCAAAAGATCAAAAAAAAAGTCTGTGATATGAGAAGAAATCTTGACCTTTTTTGTCAGGTCAAGAAATACTGAAGCATGCAGGAAGTCACTTGACAAAAATATCTACTTTGACTTTGTTCTCCTGTTTTATTTTTGGCACAGCTCAGGTGGCAAAGTGATCTCGTTTCAGTTCCCAACTATTTTGGCACCCAAAGTTTAGGTCAAATCAAAACATGTGTTATTTGTTTCCTGTTGGGTATTCTTATGTCCAAAGTAAATTTTGCCAAATGAAGGGAAAAAAGAAGGAAATACATTCTCTCTTCTTAACTTACATTGTACAAATATCTGCATTAAAAGAAGAAAATACAATTCTTCTTCTTCCAGCATTCATCAAAACAGTTTTTAGAATAATATCTAGGAAGAGGTTCATATCAAAGTAAGTTGACAAGTTGCCATCCCACTGTCCATCCTAGAAAAAGAAAGGACAAGTTTCAGCCATTTAAATTAAAGCTTGCTCAAGTTCTTTTAACCAGCAACAGTGTCTCATTCAACCTGAGCAAAATAAAAATTCAGTTTGAATACAGAAGTTCTTTCTGAATACAGAAGTCACTCCTTTAGTCTACTGAATGCTGGTATTCTGTCTGTGAGGTGCAGCTGAATCCTAACAGCAATAAGATTCACTGAAAAATTCAGTCTTCTCATTCGAGGGGAGCATTTCTAGGAAGCCTTTTCTAATTTTGAAAACACAAAGGAATTCCATGAAAGACCACTGAAACCTTTTACAGATACTTTGTAATGCTATTTCTAAATATAAGAATGCAGAAATAAATGACACATTCTTTGAGAAGAGCAGGTCAACTCCAGAAAGGCTAGTACCTATCTCTGAGAACACAAGCATGTCTCCATGCATATGGACTTCCACCTACCACTCTTAGTTTTTCCCCTGCTCCAGGCTTCCAGTCCTAGCTTCGACAATTACTTTCTTCTAGTCCAAGCACTAAGTGATTCAGCTGAATCAGCAGTGCTGCTGACTAGCAGGAAACAGCTGCTTGTATTACTGTACTGTGTTGTTCCTGCATCAGGCCAGGAGTTGGAATTTCTTGTCATTTTTCCCCACGTATTGCAGCAGATCAGGCATGCTATCCACTGACCTTAAAAAGGGTCTTTTTACTAAAAGCAGTCTGAGCTACGTTATGAACTCAATCCTGTAAGTACTCCCTACTGTTTTAAGAGCAAGTTTGCTTATTTGCTAGAGCAGTGCTATTATACTCCCAATTCTAAAGATAGTATGTTATAATAAAACAAGAGTCACATTTAAAAAAAGTTATGTCTGTCTTTACAGCTCATCAATTGCCTTGTCAAATTACAACCTTTAGCAGTAAGACTGGCAAAGTATCAAAGTAAATCACATGTACATTTTTACTTACCCTTTGTTGGCAGATCCATTTTATTTCTATGTTGAACCCAACATCTTCAGAAACAGAATCCAGGACCTGGATTCATCGAAAAAAATTCATTATGAAGAGACCTCATAGCAAAGGAGGACAACTAAGCACCGTAGTGGCAATTACTGGGAGAACGCATTGGAATTTAATGTCAATGGGGTTCAACAGCAGAATAAAAATCCTTAAGTTTTAACATTTAATACAAGATACATAGACACCTTTTTCTACTTCAGTTTAAAGTTAGGAAATACATAAATATGGATAAAATCTTAAGGACAAAATTTTGACAACGTACAAATGTAAGTCAATTCACCTTAACATGTGTGAGAAATGCCCCATTTGTACTCCTAATGAAAAAATGTTTTTTACTTCTCCAGGAAGGTTTTTTGAATGCAAAAAGTACCTTAAGTAAGACACAGTACCAAGTATGAAACCCATGAGCTTACCATTATGATGAGACTAAAAGTATGTTACATTACTGAAAAGAGTTAATTGTGAGGTGACTTCAAATCAAAAGGTGAAGCTAACAGCTACTGAAATTAAGGAAGTGTTGGTGTACAATTCTTTAACCCTATAAAGATGACAAGAATAGAAGGGACTAACACACCCTTTCTTACAGGAAGAAAATTAAATTTGGGGAATCAAAACAGGTAGAGGAATTGAAACTTCACAGTTTAGTCTATTACACAAAGTCCTTTATTTTCTGTAGTTATGAAGTAATCTGATCAGACAGTAAAAAATACAGTGGGGTATATGACCTGTAACTGATGGATATTTCATGCATGCTCTGACATAATCCTCTTAACTTTATCCTAATCGTCTCTATAATCCAAATAAAAAGCAGTATTATTGTATAAAACAAGTTCCTAAAAAGCATGTTCATGATCAGCTCAGACATTAGGAAAAACAGTAAGGGGGGGAAAAAAATAGTAGTTCAAGAAAAAACCCACAGCAAACGGTATCAAATTGTATTTGGTCAACAATTGTCTGTTTCTGTGACAAATAAGCCAACACAAAGCCCAGAGCTGGCAAAAAGTCACAAATGGGAACATACTAGAAGTTCATGTAACATTTTTGTGTCTGGCTCTGCTAGATGGCCAAGAGTATGTGAAGAACTGCCAAAGGCCAGGGTTTTCTCAAAATTAGCAAACAGTTGTCAATGCATTAAAATGCAAGGGCCGGGTGTTAACCAGCTGTAAAACAGTGTATCCTCAGGTATACAACCTGGATTCGTGAATTAAGAAGCTTGAAAGATACACAAACGACTACTTTCAGGTGCTGAAAAGCCTCTGGTGGCTGTAACAATAAAGCCTCAGTTTCAGTTGCAGCATTGGTATAGGAGGACTAAAGCCAAAAATCTGTACCCCTTGCTAAGTGTGCAAAGTTGAAAGAAAAAAAAAAATGCATGTTTTCACATTCCACAATCAATCTCTATTGCTCTATATTTAATGCTTACTCTTTGCAGAGAAGGAAATGGCTGGGTCTCAAAAGAGTTTTCTTCTTCTTTAAAAGATGCTGAAAAGAAACAAAATATTGAACAGAAACAAATAGCAGCACTGCTAATCCCAGCAAGAAAAGACTGACTCAAAATCTTAAGGCCTTCAAGAGCAAAGAATGGAACCGGATCTATAACTTCATTATCTAAGCCTTCCCTCTTAACACTGACATGTTCCAACCATGGTGTTGGCAATTTGTTTTGCCAGTGGAAATTTTTTTTTAACCCTATTAAAAGCCTTGCCAGAATATTTATCAGACACAGCTTCTCCCATCCCTCCTCATTTCAGTCACTGACTCGCATCCAGTAGAAGCGGCCTCGCCTGTCAAGGCTCATTTATTTGGTCTTTTCCCAGACAGGTAGGACATGTGAGATACCTTGCCATTTTGCTGTCCCTATATAAAGGGGATGAATTAAGGCCAAAAATTTACAGCACATATAAGACATCCTAGAGCAGTTTATCTACATTCTTGTTGGCAATTCTGAAGAGCTATCAAAAAGGTACAGTTAGAGAAGCATAAGGTGGAAACATCAGTGACAAGTTATGAATGAATATTCATAACAATTGCATTCATCTTCTACATTCCTGTCCTCTCTTCCCAAGGGGGGAGTAACTCCCATCCAGGTATTTACTTCCCAAAGAAGTCTACAGCATGCACAAAATAAAAGTAACCACACAAACATTTAGAAATGTTCAGGACGCGGCAAAACGTGATTAGAACAAGTGACTTCAACCACAGAATATGTATCATTACATGGTAATAAATAAGTCTCAAGACTCTTGCAGACTAGTACATACCATTGTGATCTTTTACTTTCAGGGCAGTCACGTGAGCCAGCTAAAGAGCACAAGCGTAAAATTAACAAATACTGCACCCATAAAGATCTTACTACATGTAAAATGTAACCAATTTTCCTTATAAATTGTTTTTTAGTTCACAGTTGTAGTAATTTGAAAAAGAATAAAGGAAATTGTAGTATGAATTACAATTCTCTTCCAAAACTTTAAAACAAAAAGATTTCAAGGAAAGTTCAGAAACAAACTGAAAATGTTCTTATGAAAATTCAGAAAACCTGTTCAAGGGTAGAAACACACATAGTATAACTTAATATTAAGACATGAGGAAGTCTGAACATTAAATCCTCCTCTGTCAGATGTTAGACCCCTTGTTTCCAATCAAGTGCAGAGAGTCAACAGCAGTCTCAATGCAGCCACATACTGAGACAGAATTAGGCCAGGCACAGCCAACTCCTTCACTCCATTCAAATTCTCCCTCTCCACAAAAAGGAGGAGACCAAGTAGTTATAAGAAACATAGTTCTTGCTTGGTCCAGCCAGGTACTTCCTTGACTAAGGACAGATTTCTCAGCTGGGTCTTCAGTGACCCAGTCTCATCCCTTGACTGCTCTTTTAGAAGGCAGGGCACTTCTGTTTGGAAGACACAGTGATACCCAATTAAACAAAACCCATCAACTAATTCTAGACAATTTGTTCAATCCATACTATTGAATCATGGACCCTTTTACACCTCCACATGCACCTCTGAAGAGCAGTTCAGCATAATCTGCACCTCCCTTGTTAACAGGGAAGTACTTGAAAATCAGACTTTGTGACAGATATTCTTCTTCAAAGACCCCAAAGCACTTGCCTTCAAGGAACCCTACCACTCCTTTCAGCCTCTTTCTATAAAAACTTATCAATGTTACCATGATATGGGTCTACACAAGTTGTCAGATTATCTTTCTATAAGTAATGAAATTTATTCAAGTTGTAAGGATGGTACAAAAGTACTGTTGTTGGAATTTGCTACTTGTTCTACTTGTATAAATTTTTTAAAACTTGTGCTCTCCCAAACTAGCTATAGTCACTCCAAAAAAAACCAAGCTTCATCCACAATTTGAAATTCCACACCTAGTATACGATACTAGCCAAAGTAACAATACCTTCAATAACTGCAGCTGATCAAACGTGAGTTCTTTGACCGCGATCTCAAACAGTTCCAAAGGCTCCGCATCCTGTTTCTTTAAAGAGAAATAATACATAATTAAGCATCATTGAAAATTACAAAAATGCCAACAATGCTTTTCATATAGCAACATTAAAGGCAACTAATTTTTAGTCTTTTATTCATAAGGACAAGTAAAATTACGATATGACTAAGATTATCAGTTTTCAGGAGACAACATAGGGCAGTCAAAAGCGTGTCAATTTGAAAAAAAAAAACAAATAGAATTTGGTCTTTCATGGAAGTCAAAAGCTTCAATGTTCTTCCTTAAAAATTTGATCAGTTCATATATTCAGAAAAGAGTCTGCAAGTAAAGAAATGCACTAAAAATACTCCAATGCAATTCAATTTATTAGCATCTACTCAATGTCACAGAAACTAATAAAAAAAGACAAGTGTCCTGAAAAAACTGAGACACACACACCTCATTCCCAAAATAAAGATCTGGTGTCAAAAAAATTCCATCAATCCATTTTTCACTTCCCCCTTCACTAAAAAGGGATTTTTACTCAAAGAGACAATACTGATTCAATATATATTGAATATGCATTTCCCTTCGTCACAATTCCATTTCCACAACTGTTCAAAGATCAAGCTTCTTATGAATTGCAAAATTGCAAAACAAACACTCAATTGTTGTGCTTCATAAAACTTGAATATTTAGCAGGTATTGTGATAGACTGTCCAGGGCACCTTCTAAGGAATGCTTATCTGTATGTCAGAGTAATGGTACTGTCCACCGCTTCTTGTACTACTCTTGACACAGAAAGAGCAGAAAGGAGTTTCTGGTTAAAAAAGAAGAAACTGCAACTTCATGAGGTAAGCAAGGAAAGGAAGAGGAGGGACACTTGCTTTCAAGAGCCATTTTGCTGCTCCTAGAACCTCTGTCTTAATTCCTTTCCTTTTATTTCACCAAGTAATCCAAAAGCAGCTCTTCAGCCTCACTGTCCCAACGAGACATGCAGTACATTGCTTACCTAACAGTTAAAGGACAGAGCAAAATGCTGAAGGAAAAAAGGATTAAGGAAAGAGAGAAACTAATAGAAGCCAAGCCATTTGTGACTAAACACCTTAAATCAAGGGGATGCCTGTTGCTTCCACTTTTCTGCTTTCCATCTACTGGCCACCACTGGGATACCAAACAAGGTAGACTTTGGTTTGACCTAAATAGCTTTCCTAAGTACATAACTATTTAATAGAAGTATACACTCAAGTATCAGCAGGAATGATGAGTCATGCTGAGAATCACACTAACTCACCCTGAAAAAAGAAACAATTATTACTCTGACAGTCTAAGCATCCCAGAGGTGCTACTGAATATAGTGGATTTGTCTGCATTTCTCTTCCAAACCATGTATTTAAAAAAGCTAAAAAATAACTACAGATGTAGGCTTGAGAGTCTCAAATCATGCATTTGAAATGCTGTTGCTACAACATCAAAAAGAAAAACTCAACGTCTCTGCTCTACTTTATGCACGCAGTAATGCTGCATACTTATTCCTATTCCATCCCTTGATTCCCCAGAATTATTTCAATGAGAGTTTGGCGTTTTACTTTATGGAATGCCCACGTTTAAAAACGGAACACAGATATCATCACCTTTACCTTTTTCATGGCCATGCAACATGTCAGATCGTGATATACAATAGGCACATGATCCTTAGAAAGATGTACGTCAAATTCCACATATGCTGCTCCCTATAGAAAATTGAAAAATACAACAAGACAAAAAATCCACAAGGACTACAGAACTGCAGGTAAGTTGCGAGGTATTTACAGATCTTGGGCATCAACCAGAAGTTGAATGCAACTGGCTGTTAACATTTAAATCATACTCAGTGGATTAGAAATAGTTAAAAATATATATGGGAAAGTATTGTAGTTACCATAACAGAGCTCTGAGATACATATATATATTTTTTATATATTTTTTAAACATAGATGCCTTTGTGGTACCCTTCCCCCCTCCTCCCCACTGCCCCACCAAAATACAAGTGATTGTATGTTACTTTCTGTTAAGCTTAAAAAGGAAGAAAGATCAAACAAGATCTCTAAGTACAATCTTTCTGTAAGGAAAGAGGGCCAGAAAGAAAAAGAAACACAAACTTCTTTAAAATTTGTTTTGACTGTCTCCAAATCATTCCTTTGAAAGGCCTCCCAAGAATACCATTCAAATTATCATTCTGACTCACATACTCTTTTTCAGTAAGTACAGAAAGAAAACAGGACAGGCATTTTTCAGCAGAAATATTTTTACATTGGTGGGCTTCAGCCTTTCCACCATGCAAGTAGGTGAAAGTACTTTTCTGGTGGTATTGCTGACAACTTCATAGTAAATTTCTGCCTTAATTCATACTTCTTGTGGGCTTTTAAGAAGCATTCTGTAAACCTGCAGTATCCACCCAGAAATTAAGAGCTACTGTTCAGAAGGATCCTTTAGTAGCTGCAGTTTTCTTCTGCTCCACAGTCAGTGCATGTTCCAGACACTGTTCAAATTACACTCTGACTCCCAAACAAGAGAAAGCTTTCAGCTATGACTCTTAGGAAATGCAATATGCCAGAATCACTAACCAATAAGCATAATAATCCAGATTCTGCTCCCATCCCTTTAACAACTTCAAAAGATGTTTGTTAAGAATCTGCATTGGAGAACAAGTACCTGAAAAAGCTTAGGAGCCCTACAAGTTAAGCTGTAACCACAGCTCTTCACCATGAAAACAGGAGCTAGACAAAAAAACCTCAATGTGCTTCTGACTCGAGCTGATCTGCTGCAGTATCTCACTAGATCATCTAGATCACTCTTATCACAGATCACTTCAGTGACCAAGATTATTGGATGGAGTAAAAGAGACCATTTCAATCACAGAATTTAAGCACCTGAATCTAGTATCTCCCAAATCGAAAGTCTGATCTCACCATTCAAAGGCTTCATTCTAGCAAGCACTGGAACAAAAGACTGCTTTATTCTACCAGCTCAGTCCCGGATCTCATTTTTGGATGCCAATTCTAGGTACTCAGCAGTCTCCAAGCAAGACCTTTGCCACCTCAGAGTACGATGACAGACTCTAGTAAAGCTAAGATTTTACTCATTTGTTCAAAGTTGTTTCAGCCCTATGTATGGCTGAGATTACCATTTTCCCTATATCAAAACACCACCAAAATATTTCAGATAGAAGCTGAGGTTATTTTTGAGGAACTTGAGAATCACAGTCTAATCCAGCTACCTCCCTTCCTCTCTCTCAGGGAATTTCCATGGTGATTTGATGTAATTTTCTATCAGTAGAAGTACCATTCATTGTATTGAATCACAGAACTTAGGCATACAAGCCACACTCGTTTTAACTATACAGTTACCATGTGCATGCAAATGTGCGTACATACGTGACTAGCAGCATTCCTCAGAGAGGCAATAGTGTTCTCTTGAACTTTAGCAAGTCTGAAATAACAGAAAAAGGTTTTGTCAGATGTAGTGTGCCACAGAAGTCCATTGAAGCAACAGAAATACAAATCAGAAGTCGGTTTTACAGAACACCCATGTTTGATATTGAAGTGATTTCACCGATTATGGGTTGTAGTTTTTCATTTTAAACTGTCTGCTTCCTCAATTGGTATCAGCCAATACCAATACATAACCCTCTCTCCAAATTAAAATGCAAATGAGCTTACTTAGCTGTTGTGGTAGAATTTCCTGCTCCCCGGTGTCCAACATCTAGAGTTGTTCTTGGTTTCCAGTATTTTGCATACGAAGCCTTCATATCACAAGTGTATCCCTGGATCGGCTTAATAATTATGTAGTCCACTACAAGAAATAAAAACAAGTGCTTCATATATCAATAAATAATAGATGACTTCCAGTAAAGTTATCTACATCTGTTCGCAGCAACTGTACCTCTAACTTTTCCAATTGTCTTCCTTGGATTTCTGCTCATAATAGCAAGAGTAAGAATTCCAGCCCTCTTTCCACGTTCGGCAAGTGTGGATGACAGGAGGCAGGCAGAGCCTACATGACCTGGGAGCACATCACCTTGTACTACTTTCTCACTTAAATCTTCCTAAAAAAACAAAAGAAACCAAAACACCTACTGTTATATCTAGGTGAGAATGCTAAACAAACTCTTCCCTCATGAAAACCTTGATCCTCAGGAAGATATATACAGGCATTGATGTAACAGAAATTTCTTGTGTGTTACAGAAAACATTAATTTCAGGCTAAAAACTGTTCAGTATAACAATGAGTTGCAAGTTATGATCAGGAATATGAAATTGTTGATGGAAATCTATGAAATCAGGTAGATTTGTCTTTGAAAACTCAGATTTTATTAGCTTTTCAGATCAAAGTTGCATGCATGGATTAGCTTGTCTTCTGAAAAGACCAAGTCATGTTTAGAACAAAGATGAACTGGACTAATAAATAAGCTTAAAACAACATTATACTCATTTTCATGGAAAGAAGAGGGCAATTGGCATGCAGAACATGGACTTCTTGACCATCATCAGGTTCAGGACCACATAGTCACCTTACAATCATGAACTAAGTGATCTGTGGGTATTTTTAGACTAAATAGAGAATGATTAAAACTTTCTTCTACATAAACAGTATGAGGAGACAAAAGCTGTTTTCTTTTAAAAAGGACTTTGAATATTACAGTCTTTCAGAAAAAAAGTGCAAAATAACAGGTGTAGTAGTGACAATGGGGAAGCAGTCCGTTTTAATTTGCACTGCTTAGCTGGAAGTCTCTTTGTTTATAACTTCCAAAAAATCAAGATCAAGTAGTCATAATTTAATTAGTTCATATACACACAGTTCAGATTACAGAAGGATAAGCAAAACTAATCTCTGGTAAAGGATAAAAACCAAGTCAACCTAACAACATGCAGTACTGCAAACTAAGATTTGAGACTTATTTGTACTGATTTCTAAATAAGCAGAAACTGCAACGTTTTCTGTGCCATATCTAGAAGACTCACAGAACCTCTGTGCAAAATGGAGCAGTAGCAAACAGTCTCGTAGCTTGTTTACACAAGTCCAAAAGATCAAGAATATCAAGCATTAGCCCTATCGTGATAGTGAAAAATTCACGGTAATTTATTTTACCTCTTGAAGGCAGACGAAAGTTGCTTCTTAGTGATAAAGAGACATACCTCAAAAAAATCAAAGATTAATTCCAAGTTATCAGGCTCCATGGTTTGTATAGTGTATTCTATCCATCGGTCTGGCTGCAAAGCATAACCACAGTCTGGCTGAGAGTGTCGACATTTATATTCGTTGTTACTTATTAAGGAGAACTCCACAGTGTTTGCCATTTTCTGAGGGACAGTAGGGGATGTTTTTTCTTGGCCCTCTTCATCATCCTCATCTTCCTCTAGGCCTTCTAGAGTCAATTTTACTCTACTCAACCAGAAATACAAAACAAATGGTTAAGTCACAGGAGAGTCTTTGGAAACACTAAAGAATTAGAAAGAAACTTGAGCAGAAGCTCACACAACACAAGTGTTCTTCTTACCTCCACCACCTACAGGACAGAACTTTATGCTGTCTAAATCTTACTTAAGACAGATTTAAGTGCTCAAGTCACTCCTAAAACTTGGGTAAATGTGAAAATTGTACTAGTGCTCTGAGAAGCAGCACTCCAAACTAACTAGTGTTTTGGGCTGCCAAATAGACAGCCTTTCTCCACAGGTTGATACCCATAATGCTGAAAGGCTAATGAGAAGCACTGAAAATAGCAGTAATCAAGCTCAACAGCTGAACATTGGTGGCTGCTACTAAGCACACACACAACTTTACATCTCTCTGAACACCAATAAGGCACTCTGAAGTAATTAGTAAGTCCCTTGAGAAATCCTAAATGATCACTTAAAAGTAAACCAAATGTAATTTCCAAAAAATCCTGGACTGAGTAGAATAGGCCTCTCTACAAGATTCAAAATCATTATTATACAGAACAAACTTTCCACTCAGAATGAAATATGTCAGTTATGGAAGCTATATATGAGTAATCCAAATCCCTTTCTGGATCATCCAAACAGTAGATGAGATAAAAACTTAACATGTCCTTAGATGCAAATTCACTAGTAAAGCTGAAGCTGTGTCTCAAAGAAACAATTACAATCATAGAAATCCTTTACACTAAGTCCACATTCTTAATACCCTCATTAAAAAAATGCAACACAATACTGACAGATGCTCTACAAACTTGAAAAATGGCACTGCCATAGCAGTTGACAGTCACAAACTACCTGGGTAGATACAACTTTTTAGGCAAACAGTATCTAAGGAATACACCCAGCTTATCAAGTTTGGACTTCAACCATCAAATTTAGAGACAAGAATCAGGCTTCAGAAAATGCTCTCTCTACCTGCTATAACACATAAGGAAAAACTGCAATGCTCTGGCGAACAGGACATGAGTATTTACTTAATACAACATTCTTCAGCAAGAATTAACTCTCCCCTCATCAGAAGGGGAGGGCGGGAAGTTACAATTCAAGGGTCAGACCATCAAAATAAGGCACACAGTACAGAAGTAACTCCCAGGTTAACTGAATGATCTGTATATCACTTATAGTGGTGTGCTGGAAGTTGCTTATACATTACGAGCTCAAAATCTAATTTCTAGCAATTTAATAGAAAATTTTTTGGGTTACTTATAACATTTTCCATTATAGAAAACACAGAACTATAATCCTTTGCAAACAAGAAGATGGGTTGTATGCAAGATTAGGACTGGGAGAAACACTATTAAGTCTGTCTGTCCGGTCCCCTCTTTCCCATTGGTAAGAGTAACACATGGCTAACACACTACCAAAAATTGCTGCTGTAGAAAAGCACTTTTGCTGAGTATTTTTAGTAGTAACAATCATCATGCCTTCATGATTGAGAGGCATGTCAGGCTTTAGTTAAGGAGGAGAGGTTTTTATACATCTCTACTCTTTTTCAATTATTTCTGTACAAAGATACATGCTGGGATGAAGTTTGGCAACCATAGAGATCCAAAAAAAAAAACCGCATGCAGGAAAGAAAGGGGCTCAGGGTTAGGGAGGGGAAGAGAAGAGAGCAAGCTCCAGATCCCAGAAATTCAAGAGATTAAGGGGATCAAACATCCAGGACAACAGCACAGTCCTCAAAACATCAGGACCAAGATACCCACTTCTGCCAGCCAGCTGTACAGTTATAATAATGTCAGATTTTTAAGACACCTATGCAGATAAAACCATCAAACATCTAAATAGCAACAGAAGTGACCAGAGAACGCTATCATCTCCAGCATTCATGTTGACTGGAAATCTCTAATGCCAGTGGAGAATTAACCATATTAAGTGGAGAAGGCTGTTTACTTTAAGAAAAACCAAGCCAAAAACCTGGAAGCCTTCTCCCTTTCTTTCCCCCCAACTTTCAATTCCATTCTGCTCTTTTTGAGAAGCTTAGAAAAAAGAACAAAGAAGAAAACTCTATGAAAGTAATAGCAGAGAACTACTTAAAACACTACAGCTCCAGCCAAGAAGCAGGAAACATCAAAGCCAGTATTTGTGAAAGACACCTGTTGCCTTCTGCTTAACTTGCTCTATCACATCTGCTTTATTCATATTTAATAGATTAAGAACTATCAGAAAGGCAAGAGCTGAAAAGTATTATGTCAGCAGTGAAACCAGCATAGTTTTGTTCGACAGTTTGTCTTCCTCTGCTGAAATAGAAGAAAATCTTCTGAGACTGCATTAATAATAAAATCAGGTAACAAACACACCACTGATTTAATGTTATGGTCATATTTCTACAAAGTGCTTAAACACCTGGAAACTGGCCTGGTGGTATACCCCTATTAGCAATTTGAAACTAATTTAAAGGCTCCTTCATTAAAAAGTAGAAAAGAATCATCGGTATTGACACTTAACATGAGATAAATTGCAAACGGAGATGAGCAGGCTCTTACCTAAACCTTGATGTTTTAAATTTCTTCTTAGATATCACTACAGGTGGTTTCTCAGAATAATGCAGGCGTAATCTTATTTCTGTCTGACATGTCAGCCACCCAGCATCCACAGTTTCAATGCCATCTATCAAAAATTAAACAAAAAATGGAAGACACTTTATTAGAGAGATCTTATGATACAATATAAATATAAAATATAAATACAATTAAAATA